CTGCTGGTTCTGGAGGCGCTACACGGCCGCGGCCGTACTTTGTTCCGCTCCTTCAGCAGGTTCTTGGTCAGCCGCCTCCTCCTTGTCCTGCTCCCTCCTTAGAGTGTCCTCAGTCTGTCCAGTCGCGGTCACAGTTACTGCCTGCCTCGCCACTCCCTGGTCCTTCTCCTTACACTGGTCCTACTGGAGGTCTTACGGAGCGTCGTGAGCCTGCGTCTCGTCCTGTGTCGCCTGAGTCTCGTTCTGCGTCACCTGTTCGTGCTGCTCACACTAGTCGTCGTGTCCCGCGTCAGCGTCCTCCTGCTGTCCCAGGCACTCACCAGATGGCGCTTCGTCCTTCCACTGCTCCTCAGCGTGTCCCCCTGCCGTCTCCTCCTGCGTCCTCTCTTCCTGCTCTTGCTGACCCGGAGTCTGACTCCCTTCGTGCTGCCAATCCTACTGTCACGCGTCTCCTCGCCACTGTTGTCACTGACCCTACCTTTGAGTCCTCCGCTGCGTCTGCTCTAGTCGCTGAGTTAGTTGACTTTGCTGCCGCTTGTCGTCTAGACTACGCCGCTAGCCCTGTTGCTGTGTTTGAGTCTGTCTGTCCTCCGTCCGTCGGGGGTGAGTGTGCTCTTGGCACGGACGTCCTTGAGGATAGGCAGGAGGAGTTTGAGTGCTTTGCCGCTGCTTTGCCCCATCTCGTGTCCATGCTGATTGCCCCTAAGGGAGACCCGGATGCACCAGACATCTCGACTCCGCGCTCTTACGCAGAGGCGATAGAGGGTCCCTACTCCTCTCAGTGGCAGTCAGCCATGGACGCAGAGATGGCTTCCTGGAAGTCCACAGGCACCTACGTCGACGAGGTTCCCCCACCTGGGGCGAACATCGTCAGTGGCATGTGGATTTTCAGGGTGAAGCGGCCGCCGGGTTCTCCACCTGTCTTCAAGGCGCGTTACGTGGCTCGAGGCTTCAGTCAGCGAGAGGGAGTTGACTTCTTCCAGACCTTCTCCCCGACCCCGAAGATGACCACTCTTCGGGTTCTGCTGCACATCGCCGCTCAGCGTGACTACGCGCTTCACTCTCTCGACTTCAGCACTGCGTTCTTGCAGGGCAGCCTGCATGAGGAGATCTGGCTGCGCCGCCCACCTGGCTTCACTGGGTCGTTCCCTCCTGACACCCAGTGGAGCCTCCGACGGCCAGTCTACGGTCTCCGCCAGGCACCCCGTGAGTGGCACGACACACTGAGGACTACACTTGCTGCTCTTGGTTTCGCTCCTTCTACTGCTGACCCGTCGCTGTTTCTACGCACCGACACCACTCTGCCGCCGTTCTACGTTCTCGTCTACGTAGACGACTTGGTCTTTGCTACTGCTGACACTGCGGCACTCGCCCACGTGAAGTCCGAGCTGCAGAAGAGACACACGTGCACAGACCTGGGTGAACTGACAAGCTATCTTGGCTTGCGGATCACCCGGGACAGAGCACAGCGCACCATCACCTTGACTCAGTCACACATGGTACAGCAGGTCCTTCAGCGCTTCCGCTTCACGTACTCCTCGCCTCAGGCCACTCCTCTGCCTACCGGTCACTCGCTCTCAGCTCTGCCTTCGGATGAGTCCGTAGAGCCGAGTGGCCCGTATCCAGAGCTAGTGGGCTGCCTCATGTACCTGATGACCTGCACTCGACCTGACCTAGCATACCCTCTTAGCATCCTCGCACGCTATGTCGCTCCTGGTCGTCACCGGAAGGAGCACATGGATGCTGCTAAGAGGGTGTTGCGCTACTTGTGCAGTACCTCGGGCATGGGGCTAGTGCTTGGAGGACGGGCTCGAGTTGTCCTCACTGGGCACTCAGACGCTTCTTGGGCTGACGACCAGGCTACTCAGCGGTCGTCTCAGGGTTACACATTCAGCCTTGGCTCTGGTTCAGTTTCTTGGCGTTCTACTCGCTCGTCTTCAGTACTCAGCTCCAGTTGTGAGGCTGAGATCTACGCCACAGCCATGGCTGCACAGGAGTTACGCTGGCTCACCTACCTGCTCACTGACCTGGGAGAGCGGCCTCGTTGACAACAAGGCCACCATTGCCTTGTGTCAGGAGCACAGACTGGAGCATAGAACGAAGCATATCGCTCTGCGCTACTTCCTTGCTCGAGAGCTGCAGCAGCGCGGTCAGCTTCGTCTCGCTTACGTGGCCACTCGGGCCAACACTGCTGATGTGTTCACCAAGGCACTCCAGCCTTGTGATCATCAGCGCTTCTGTACTGTTCTAGGCCTGGTGCCCACTAGGCCTCACTTGCTTACTTCTTGACTTTGTTTGTACTGTGATCTCTATTTATATACCTGCATACTTACACCTGCTAGGTTGTGATCAATGTACCTCTTGTTATATTATCAACCTGTATGTGAACTGGTCTTGTGACCACTTGCTTGTGCTCAGAATTTGTGTGGTTTCCTTGAGATCCACCCTGAGCTTGCTTTGCCTTGCTTTGACTGGTCTTGTGACCATCTGGTTGTCTCCCACTTAGCCTATGGGGGTGTGTCAAACATTATACATGTTTATATTGTGTAGGCTATAGTGGGTTTAGCCTTAGGGGGTACAACTTTGTTAGGGTTTCCTACTTGTATCCCCCTCATGCCTAGTTTCATCATTCTCGTTCTTTCTAAGATTCCAACACCACGGTGGAGGGGTAAAAACTATAGGAGTCGGGGACCCTTAATTAAAAGGAACTGTCGCCCAACCGTTTTGCAGCCCACCGCAACGGTCGCGTCACTAAACTCCAGAGCTTCCCGGTACCAGCTTCGCCACTGCGCCGTCAACTCGTGTAGACGCCCGGGTCAGGAGAAACCTGCAAACTACACCATTGTTGTCATTGCGGCACCCCGATTTTTTTGCGTGCTGTTTCAGCCAGCCCGCTTTTGTCGGAGCAGAACAGTGCCGCAACTCCCTTTTTTTTTGTTTTTTCTGTACAGCTGTCGAACGAGCACCAACCCAAGTGCCTTTAACCAGCGCAGGGTAGGCCCGTGTTCACCCCCGTTATTCGTCCAAGTAAGTTGACTGCATGAGTCAGAACTAAAACTTGGTGGGGATGGTGAGGTTCGGGCGACGGAAGGTCACAGATCGTTCACACCGGCTTTTAACCTGCCCTTCACGCCGTTCTTCAACCCAAGCTTAGCCGTCGGGCAGTTTCTTCCCGTGCGTCCTGGCAGCCTGTACCAACTCCTCTGTAAATGTCGGGGCAGTACCTTGAACGCCGTTTAATCGTGGGCTGCTCAGGCTGTCCCCGAAAATGACTTCCTTACGGGGAATCCACTCTCGAAATTGTCGGCCAACTGTCAACAGTACCAGGCACGCATCGTCATGCGAGTTTTCTTCGAGGTTTATGGGCTCGAATTGCCCTCGCAACCTGCGTCCCACTCCTCTTGAGTGCGATTCAGCCACTCCATTTTTTGTAGCAACCCGCAAGTGTCGGCGGGTCTAAAGTTTTCGTCTGTCCACGTGCACTTTGTTGACTACTATTGAGACTAGGAACCTCTAAGCGCACCTTTAATCACCACTCAGTTATCCCCACGGGGTCACCTCCAAGGGTCCTCGGGTGCCTGGTAAAACCAGCCCCTACCCAAGGGTCCGTGTTTGTAGAGGGATTTCCCAAGTGTGAAACTAATCGTGTGCTCTAGAGTAGTCACAAACTCCGTTGCGCAGCGTTAATTGACTGATTGGCTCGTGTGCAGATAATTCCCCTCACGTCAATACGATGATAGAGAATATTTCATTCACAAAAAAGGTTAATCACAAACAAACGCAAGCACAAATTAATACTAACCCACCAAAAGCGAAAGCTAACAGCCCACCGAAATGACAACTAGAACCATACTTCGAATTGCCAACTTTCTCCATGCGAAACCGCTGGCAACATACTCGCCCATGAACGTTTATGTGGGCCATACTTGTTCGCGAAGCCTCGTGGACGCTCGTGGTGTTTTGTGGCGACCACTTGTGACAGCTCACGGAATCTCCTGAAGAAATCGCGCAGTTACGCGACGAAATTAAGCTATCGTCAAAACTCCCCTCGCACACTTTGCGCCATTGTCGAATGTTAATCGCGCACTTCACGAAACACCCCGTAGCGAAATTCCTCTCGGGTAATAAGTACAAACAGCTCGAGGGTCCCACAATCCAATTGTGGACTCACGTGCCCTCGTCCTTTCCCACGCACCACCTCACTGCCACACTCACGCGTGTGGCGAGGAATTCAATTGCGGCCTCAGGCCGTGCGTGTGCCTTGACTGGCACACTCCCATGATTGCGCAACATGCGCAACAGTGCTCGGGCTCATGGCCTCGAGCCTTGACCACCTCGCTAGGGCGAAATCCCTTTAGCCCCATAAACAAAATACGAAATTACAAACGAACTCATCAAAACAACTGAAAACACAACTCTCAAACTTCACCTGAAAACTCACGAACTCGCACGAAATCACGAACGTTTCACGAACAGACTCATGAACATTGACGACACTTTCACGAACAGTCGTGACTCGCAGAACACATGAAATAACACGAACGCACACGGAATCGCGGAACTTACGAAACAACACGAACACCCGCATTCACTTACGGAAACTCATAAACACTCACAAATGCAGCCCTTCCTGAGAACGTTCGTAACTCATGAACCGTCGAGGCGATTCACGAACCGTAAACGTCCAAACGTAAAGCACAGAAATGCCCACCTCACATATAACAAATGACCTTCAAACAGAAAACTTCATTTACCTTCACCGCCGGCAAATTGACGGTAGGTTGACGTCAGGGCCCTCGCTTGTCTCTGAACCCCCCTGAGGCGTCAGACGGGCCCTTCGGGCCCGTCTGACTGGTCAGAATTTTTTCACGCCCCTGTCTTTCGCATCAGAAATTCTAACATTACTTGGCTTAAAAATCAGATTTTGTAACCCGTCCCTACTGTAACTATAACTACTACTCAGCTATTCTCTACAAAGAAAACATATCAAGAATAACTATCTAGCTATCTGAGTCAGAGCCAGATGCCTCATTGTCACTCAGTGTAACAGTTGCACGCACATCCACTCCTTCATCCTCACTGTCGCTATCTACTATGTGAGTTTTGGCTTTCTTCCTCTTGGCTTCTCCGTCGTCATTGGACGGCGCTTTCTGAGCTGTCGTGTTAGGTGCTAGATCCTCCCTGTCTCCCTGCCTCCCTGCCGCTTCCGTCTCTGCCTCCCTGCGCTTCGCAGTTGCCACTCCACTGACTTCTTTGGCAGGGCGCCTCTTCTTTGCCCCGCGCCACAGCTTCACCACGTTGTCCCAGTCTGGTTCGTAGTCAAGCAGGGAGATGCACATGAGGTCGGAGAGTCGCGCATTGCAGAGGTTGTTCCTGAGCCACGACTTGATTACGTTTTGGCGACTGAACCCTCGCTCGCACTCCACAGTGCTGAGCGGAAGAACAGCCACTGCCACCCAAAGTCGAACCAGATTGGGGAAAGAAGACTCCCAATCCCCGCTCCTGAGCATGTTCTTAAGTGCCACGTAGAAGGATTGATCCTTGTACTGTGACACCATCACGCGGGTGAAACGTGGAAGCTCCCGCTCGGCCTTCTTCCAGTTGACTCCTGTAAGCACACAGCACATCTAGTTAGCATCCCACTATGTAGACGGATCGTTACACAAACAAGGGATTAGGGACAACGCGGAATTTTGGAAACACGTACCTGGCAGAGCGCACTGCTCGGCGTTGAACATCTTGCGAAGGGAGCTGAACCACTCCGCGCACAGACGGTCGCGCTTGTTCACGCCATCCGGATAGGCGTCTGGCAGAAATAGCTTGGACCCAACGAGGGACTTCAAGCTTCGCATGCGGTACTGTAGCCTGCCGATCACCTCCTTCGCAAACAGGGTGGCGAGGGACACGCAGGACTCGACGTCACCCGAGGGATCCTCTTTCTTCTTCGCATCCAGCTCGTGCAGCTTGAAGGTGTGTTTGACGGCGTTGCCGTCTCCATCCATCCCCTCCACCTGGACCACCCGCTTGGACGGATGGGAGTGCGCTTCGAGGAAGGCAGTGAGGTGCTCGCTGTCCTCCGCGAAGTTCACCCCGTACTCCACATAGCGCGCGTTCAACTTCTCGCAGGTGTTTTGCACCTGCCCCATGACACGGGTGATGTCCACCTGCGACATCACGCACAAACACAATGTTAATCACTGACATTCGGGAGTAGAGCGAATTTCAAAATCGGCGACCGTTAATTACACGCTCACCGATTGTCGCTGAAACCGCTTGTTGAGCTCGTTCAATTCCTTCAGGACATCAGCGAGAAAAAAAAGAAAGAAATGAAATTTGAGGCTCGTAACCAGGTGATACGTCGTGCTGTCTTTCTCGTGGAGCAGCACTATGGCAGCCGGCAGAACAGCGACAAGTCTCGAAACAGCATCGCCCCGCGACAGCCAGCGAACATCGAAAATCCCCTGCATCTCCAAGTTCGTGGCGTGAATCACGGTTTGCAGCTCGTGGAACCTCTGGTGGACGACGCAGCTTCCGCCAATGAGGGTCGCGATGGCGCGGATCCCTTGGTCGACGATGTTGAAGGCGGGGATGTTCGTCGCGGCACCCTTGGCTGCGAGAGCCTCTCTGTTAGATGATGAAAAAAAAAACCAAGTGAGTAGGGGGAGATGTATGTGACAACAATACTGCAAAATTTGAAGTGCAAAATACCTCACCGGTGAGCAAGGCAATGACACGCGACAAGATGCGGAACTCGCATCTTCAGCTGAACCACCAGCCCATTCTGACTGCCCAGCATGACGTTCGCGCCATCCGTGCTGATGCCGGAGATCTTGTGCATGTCAACCCCGTTGCAGTCCAGATGCGCCAGCAAGACGGCGAGCAGAGATTAAGCGTCGCCCTTCTCCACGGTTAGGTGCCCGAAAAGCTCGGTCACCGCCTTCTCCTCCTTCATGAAGGTTAGGTAGACGATGAGATGCTTGCCCTTCCTCCGATCAGTCGACTCGTCGAGCTGAATCCCGAGAAAGGGCGACTCTTGGATGTATCGCATCTGACGGGCCTTCAGGTGCTGCACCATGGCTTCGGTCATCTCCCGAAACCCATATCTGCCATAATGAAAAGCACGACAATAAGTCAATGATGATGAGTACCTAAACATCACATCACGTTGCATTACTCACTATGTCTGGTAGGTGCCGATGGCCTTGTCGGGAATGTTGGGGGTCTTCAGAACGTGTAGCAGGTGCACAAGGCCAACAAAGAGCGCAATAGGTGCATCCGACTTGCATATGAAAAGCACCACTAATAGAAGTTGTTTCAAACGCTCAATCTCCCCCACCCCGTCCTCATACTCATCAATCCCTCGTTGAGCAACTTTACCTCCTTCGGCTCGGGCTTTACGATCGAGGGCGTCCTGATGCTTGCGACTCAGACCATGCTTGCGCATGGTCTGCTTCTGGATGTCCACGCCACCCTCGCCCGCCTTGCCGTACTGCCAGTGTGGCGGTCCGTATCTGATGCAGACACTGCACTTCATGCACGGGCGACCATCCTTCCTTTGTGATATCAGCAGCCAGGGGAAACGAAGTTGCCAGATGTCGGTGCACTTCTTCTTCAGTTCTTCGAGAAGCGCGTCAGGATCCGGAACCAAAATAGACGGCCTGGACGGCCCTGGATCCGAAGGCACCCTGCTCGTGCCAGTCGCTGGAGTCAGCGGAGTAGCAGCAGCTGCGGGAGAGGGCGACCTTCCTTGCGTGAGGCGCACATGAGGTACGCGAGTTCGAGCAAACCGAATAGTCGATTGAGTGAACTTCCCGAACTTCGGGAACCGGGAGACGCCTGCGCTTCGGACAGCACTGACCGTGGGAGTTGCGACGCGCCCGGTCGCTCTAGTGGGCGACTCTTCCACAGGCGGATCGCTCAGCTGTTGCCGCTGATTAAAATCCGGCCAGGGCTCCGTGCTTGCCGTTGGTTCGTTGTTGGTAACTGGGGGCTGCACAGGCGGATCTCTTTCAGGCGTGGCGGTAGGCGGACCGCCTCTCAGAAAGTCGAGACCAGTAAGTGGACGATGCGACCTAGCAGGGTCATCATCGTCCCTACAATCCATGGCTACAGGGCCCTAGGAGGATGTTGTCAAGATGGTAGAGAGAGCAGGGGAAAGAATTCCCCTGTGCTAGCGAGTGAAAGGAGCGTTGGAGAGGGAGGGGGAGCCAGCCGAGCATTATCAGCTGAACGAGGTGCATGCATGATCTTACAACGCACCGCGGTGCCCCACTCCATCCTTCGTCCAGCGGGACGTTGGGCAACAGTCGGTGCGAGTCGCGCGAGGCTCTGCAATCCACACAACTCATGCGCTGGCGTGAAAGTGGACCAGTAACAGAAAGACTTGCTCCACTTTCGTCTCAATGTGGCCCAATTTGGCCAGACGTGCGCCAGATTGCCAGCACTTGACTTCTGTCAGTGCGCTCCGCTGCGCTGTCACTGCAATCACGCATACAGGTCTACTGATCGTGCTGTGATTGGCGCAGCTAACCCATATCACGCGTCAATCACGGCAGACTGTATAAAAGTCGGTTTCAGACGGAACTGATACAAGTGCCTGGAAAATCAGAGGAATAGCTACACGCACGTCTTTTTCATCAGACAAAATGGGAATCTCATATCTTATTCATCAGATTTCCCAAACGTTCCATTTCTTAAAAATCAGATTACGTAAAAAAAATCCGTCTTATTCCTCAGAAAAACAGACAAAAATGTCTGATAGCGAGGGCCTTGGTTGACGTGCAAAACGCATATTGCACTCAACACACTTCTGTCGAAATCTCCGATGACGCGCCCGCCATGCGGTAAAAGCCACTGCTCTTCAGGTCGGGCGGGAGGACAGTTGACCCACATAATTCGGCCAATTCGCGTGTCGTCTCTCCTCGTCCATCGACATTTTTGGACGCAAAACTCCATTTGCGCCTGGCCAGTTCCCCAACCGGCTTTTTCTCCACAGTTGCCCCGAAAATATCGCCCATGCTGACGCAGGCCCGTTGTCGCCAGCTGCCGAGGATCTCCCGAAAACCTCGCGCACATATTGACGTATGCCACGGACATCAACTTGTCGCGTAAGGACGATCACGAAATCGTCGCGGAGCCATTGACTTAGGTTCGCCGGCGTCAACAGCTACACACAGTGACCACGTCGACGCTGTTCATGCAGATGCCGACGCAGGTCTGCTGACGCCAGCTACCACATGAATCAAGCTCCGGAATCGTCGGAAATCGCAGCGGAAATTACCCACTAAAATGTCGCGACAGCTTCAGCTGTCCGTTGCCCGGAGGGAGGGAGGTCACGGTCGATCGTAACCGTCGAAGGCAAGGATCTGGCGGTGCCGAGGAGTGCACGATAATTCCATGGCCGCGAAGAGCAACTAACCCGTTCTCTTGGCCGGCCTACGCAACTCCTGGACCCCAGGACATCCTTCGTCCCCCCCCCCCCCCCTCGAGGGGTATTACACTCTAAAAAGCGGGGTAGGCTAGGAAAGTAGCTCTGATACCAGGTGTTATGAATGAACTTACAGAGTGCGCAGAATAACGAATAACGAGAATGATTGAGTACTAAATGACTGAATGACGATACAAGGAAAGTGTCGATACTAAATAGGGGAAGTCCTAGCTAGGCGGAGATGTCGGGCGAGGATGGCTCGGTGATGGTTGCGATTGGTGCGGAAGCGCCTCAGGGGTGGTTCGGTGCGACGAAATAGGCAAGACAGGTTCGTCGCGAGACCCTCGGGATGGCCTCGCTAACGAGTGCCTCAGTAAGGTTTTGTAAATCCTTACACTCTATGCGTTTAGGGTTTCGGCAGCAGCAGTATCCACCTTTACGCTTCCACTATGGCGACCCCTAGGATCCTGCGCTTTTACGATGAGGGTAGGCCGCTCGAGTTCTCGGTCGGCGTCACCGCTGCCTGCTCCACTGTCGGCTGCTGCCCTGCTGGTGCCTTCTTCGCCGGCTTCACCCAAGTCGGCTGCTCCTCCTCGACCTGGTCCTCCCCTATCAACGACGGCTTCACTCCCACGTCGACGTGCTGCTCGTCTCGTCGGCCACCGGCGACGCCCTTGGCCGGTGCCGAAGGCGACGGTCCATTCTCCCCTCATCGTCGGAGGCCGACACAGGGGTCAGTCCACATAGGTCAGCCACAAGGGGAGGGGCCGGAGGGGCAGGGAAGGGGGAAGTAGAGGGGATGTCCTCGACGTCCTCAACAGCGGGCTCACCGACCTCGGCGAGCAAAGGGAGCGATGCCGTCGAGGTGTCCGTCGGCGGGGTGGTCGGTGTCTGTCCCGACGCCGGCCCGAGCTCCAACTTCCACACCTCCAGCGACATATCCTCGTAGAAAACCACATCCGACGTGGTGACCACCCAGTTGTCGGTGATGTCGAGGAGCTCTCATCTCTTGCTCTCCGCTGACACGCCGAGGTGAAGGCCCCACCTGGCCTTCGGCTTCAGCTTCCCACCACGCTGCTGCTCGGGGACCAAGTACTGTGCCATGCAGCCCCACACCCGTGCCAACGACAAGTCGGGCTTCGTCCCGGTGAGGAGCTGGTACGGCGTTGTCCCCGGTGGCAGCGTCGACCGCTCAAGGCAGTTGCGGACCCAGACGGCCTGTCGCAGAGCGAGGTGCCCCCAGTGGTGCTGCACGCCCATGTGCAGCAGCATCGTCCACACCGATTCCACCACCGTCCTTATCTCCCGCTCCGCCATGCCGTTCTGCTTCGGGGTGTACGGGCAGGTAAGGTGGTGGACGATCCCCTTGCCGTCCACGAAGTCGGTTAACTTCTTCTCGAGGAACTCCCCTCCCCGGTCTGAGCACAACATCAGCACCGACCTCTTCGCCTGCCTCTCCACCAACACTAGCTACTTCTGGAACTCCTGCAGCACATCCGACTTCTTGGCGACCGGCCTCACCCGCACGTAGCGGGTCTTGCGGTCCTTCAGCAGCAACAAGTACAAGCTGCCGTCCTTGCCAGCCACGCGGAACGGTCCGCACAGGTCGATGTGCACGACAGCCAGCACGTCGTCGGTGTCGGAGTCTTGGTTGGGGAAGGTGTGCTGCCCCAGCTTCCCGACGACGCACGAGACACACGGTGAGTCGGAGCCCATCGC